TGTGTGTGTGTGTGTGTGTGTGTGTGTGTGTGAGTGTTGGTGAGAAGTGATCTACCTGAGGCCCTATCTCCGCAAACTTTGCAAGGCTCCCAACCCGATGAGAAACTGCCAGTTGTGCTTCCGCCACCGGCACTTCCACTGCCAGCTCCTCCGGTACCACTACTTCCGCTGCCTCCTGCTGTCCCGCCGCTTCCACACCCTCCACCACCCCCTCCACCAACTCCACCAGCCCCACCACCACCAATGCCGCCACCTCCGCAGCTACCTCCGCAGCCACCGCCACTACCACCAACACCAACACCAGCAACACCACCACTGCCTCCACTGGCGCTGGCAGCGACTGCGGCGGCGATGCTGGCGGTGTCGGACAGACACGCGCTGAAGGTGGTCTCTGTCGTCAGGCCGGCAGCGCTGGACGCCGGCGTGAGATTCGAGAGACCGAAGCTGTTGTTTATGGGACTCGAGCAGCCATTGACGTGACTCAAAGGACCGGAAGATGCGGTCAGCGGTGCAAGGCCGCTGAACCCCGTGGCGGCGGCTTCACGTTTTATGCAAGTGAGCAGGTTGCTCACCAAACTGGGCGGTCCCCTCACTCCGTTGGCCAGAAACAACGGAGGCCCGCCGGTGCCGCTGGTGGTACCGGTTGTGCACGTGGTGGCGGTGTTGCCGGTGGTACCGGCCGACCCGGTGGCGCCGCGGTGCGGGGAACTGGGCGCCGAGAGGGGACAGCCGAGCAACAATTGGCTTGAGGAGAGGCCGGTGGTGGCTGTCGTGTTGGCGGCGGCAGCGACTGCGGCAGCGGCCGCGACCACGGCCGAGAGGCCATGCAGCTCCTGGGTCGACCTGGCCGTGGGCGGCAGGTTGAGCTGGGCCTCCGAGTCGCCGGGCATTGGCAACGGCAACTGGAACGAAAGCAACGGCTCTCCGGACGCTTGACTCGCGGCCGAGCTGACGAGCAGACTGCAGACGGACGCGGCCGAGCTGCTGGCCGGCGGGCTGGACTCGGTCGACCAGAAGAGGAGAGGAGCCGTCGACGTCGACGTCGAAGCCGACGCCGACCCCGACGCCGTCGCCGTGTTGGCCGGGCTGGCGGCGGCCTTGACGGCGTCCGATTTGAGACCGGCGAGGCCGATCAACTGTTGCTGGAGCTGTTGTTGGGCGTGCGGAGAGGCGGGTTGGTGGAGAGGGGCGTGAAGAGAGGCGACGTGGTGGGGCGAGTGGAGTGAGCCGATGCCAGACTGCAGAGCCGGTTGGACGTGGTGTTGGTGCAGTGAGGAGGCCAGCGACAATGGCATCGGCAACGACAATGGCGAGGTGCGGGTTGCCGAGAGATTCGGGTGCAGCAGAGAGAGAGCTGAGGACTCGGACAGCGGCCGGCCGCCTGAGGAATAGGAGACGCAGACGGACGGCGAGAGGGTCGGTGAAGAAAGCAGGCATCCCGAGGTGGGCAGATGCGCGCCAGCATCGAGGCCGCGTGGGCAGACGAGCAGCTGTGACGAGGAGACCTGCCGGCCGAGGAGGCAAGCATCGGAACCCGTCAAGCCGGTGCTCGCTGCCAAAGAAGAGAGGACGGCAGCAGCAGCCGCCGCCGCTGACGCCGACGAGACTGTGGACGAGGAAGATAAGGAGGCGGAAGAAGAAGAAGAAGAAGAAGAAGAAGTAGCCGAGGAAGAGGAGCAAGCAGACGAGCAGGCAGAAGAGCAGGCGGAGGAAAGAGTGGAGCCGGCCAGTACAGCTGCCGAGACGGGACTCGAGCAGGCGAGACTCTGGGCCTGGGAAGAGAGGGTTGCTGGATGTGCGAACGACGAGGAGGATGCCAATGGAGCCGGAACGGAGTGAGAGAAAGGCTGGATCGTGGAGGAGGAAGTAGTACCACTAGGCGGTGTAGAGGTCAGATACTGCTTTAACAGGAGGGCACGGAAGTTGGCCAGAATGTCAGGTAGGTTCTCGGAGCTGAGAACTGCCGCCTGAAGGGAATAATTAATGCATGGAAAAAAGGGATTCGTCATTTCAACTTGAGGCAATTTCATTTGGTTTCGAGCCCTAAACTATCAGTCCTTCTAACACCTCTCAAAGTTTTGCCGTTATTGTGACAAAGTACATAAAGCATAAATACAGCAATAGAGAAAAGAGACAAATCGAGTTTCCAACCTGCCCCACAGCCTGTCATACGCCTCCCCAACTGGATTCGAACCTGGTAGTGAGTATCATGGCAGCTTTACCACTCCACCACAGCCACAGGGGCCATCGCATCACAAGGCAGATGAGGCATTCAAGGCAAGCCAGGCCGTTCTCAAACAACATATTATATAAAATATATGAAGACCAAGATGTTGTGGCT